TTACTTGTGATTGGTCTGTTCATATTTTCTATTTCTTCCTGGTTCAGTCTTGGAAGGTAATACCTTTCTAAGAATTTGTCCATTTCTTCCAGGTTGTCCATTTTATTGGCTTAGAGTTGCTTGTAGTAGTCTCTTAGGATGCTTTGTATTTCTGTGGTGTCTGTTGTAACTTCTCCTTTTTCATTTCTAATTTTATTGATCTGAGTCCTCTCCCTCTTTTTCTTGATGAGTCTGGCTAATGGTTTATCAATTTTGTTTATCTTCTCAAAGAAACAGGTTTTAGTTTTATTGATCTTTGCTATTGTTTTCTTTGTTTCTATTTCATTTATTTGTGCTCTGATCTTTATGATTTCTTTCCTTCTGCTAACTTTGGGTTTTGTTTGTTCTTCTTTCTCTAGTTCCTTTAGGTGTAATGTTAGATTGTTTATTTGAGATTTTCTTGTTTCTTGAGGTAAGCTTGTATAGCTATAAACTTCCCTCTTGGAACTCCTTTTGCTGCCTCCCATAGGTTTTGGATTGTCGTGTTTTCATTGTCATTTGTCTCCAGGTAGTTTTTTATTTCCTCTTTGATTTCTTCAGTGATCTCTTGGTTATTTAGTAACATATGTTTAGCATCCATGTGTTTGTGTTTTTTACGTTTTTTTCCCTGTAATTGATTTCTAATCTCATAGCGTTGTGGTCAGAAAAGATGCTTGGTATGATTTCAATTTTCTTAAATTTACTGAGGCTTGATTTGTGACCCAGGATGTGATCTATCCTGGAGAATGTTCCGTGCGCACTTGAGAAGAAAGTGTAATCTGCTGCTTTTGGATGGAATGTCCTATAAATATTAATTAAGTCTATCTGGCCTGTTGTGTCATTTAAAGCTTGTGTTTCCTTATTAATTTTCTGCTTGGATGATCTGTCCATTGGTGTAAGTGAGGTGTTAAAGTCCCCCACTATTACTGTGTTACTGTCGATTTCCTCTTTTATAGCCGTTAGCAGTTGCCTTATATATTGAGGTGCTCCTATGTTGGGTGCATATATATTTATAATTGTCATTTCTTCTTCTTGGATTGATCCCTTGATCATTATATAGTGTCTTTCCTTGTCTCTTGCAACATTCTTTATTTGAAAGTCTATTTCATCTGATAGGAGCATTGCTACTCCAGCTTTCTTTTGATTTGCATTTGCATGGAATATCTTTTTCCATCCCCTCACTTTCAGTCTGTATGTGTCCCTAGGTCTGAAGTGGGTCTCTTGTAGACAGCATATATATGGGTCTTGTTTTTGTATCCATTCAGCAAGCCTGTGTCTTTTGGTTGGAGCATTTAATCCATTCACGTTTAAGGTAGTTAGTGATATGTATGTTCTTTTTTTTTAATAAATTTATTTATTTATTTATGGCTATGTTGGGTCTTCATTGCTGAGCGCAGGCCTTCTCTAGTTGTGGCACGTGGGCTCAGTAGTTGTGGCTTGCGGGCTCCAGAGCTCAGGCTCAGCAGTTGTGGTGCACGGGCTCAGTTGCTCCGCGGCATGTGGGATCCTCCCGGGCCAGGGATCAAACCCGTGTCCCCTGCATTGGCAGGCACACTCTTAACCACTGCACCACCAGGGAAACCCCAATATGTATGTTCTTATTACCATATTCTTAATTGTTTTGGTTTGTTTTTGTAGGTCCTTTTCTTCTCTTGTGTTTTCCACTTAGAGAAGTTCCTTTAGCATTTGTTGTAGAGCTGGTTTGGTGGTGCTGAATTCTCTTAGCTTTTGCTGGTCTGTAAAGATTTTGATGTCTCCATCAAATCTGAATGAGACCCTTGCTGGGCAGAGTAATCTTGGTTGTAGGTTCTTCCCTTTCATCACTTTAAGTATATCATGCCACTCCCTTCTGGCTTGTAGAGTTTCTGCTGAGAAATCAGCTGTTAACTTTATGGGAGTTCCCTTGTATGTTATTTGTTGTTTTTCCCTTGCTGCTATCAATAATTTTTCTTTGTCTTTAATTTTTGCCAGTTTGATTACTGTGTGTGTCGGCGTGTTTCTCCTTGGGTTTATCCTGTATGGGACTCTCTGTGCTTCCTGGACTTGGGTGGCTATTTCCTTTCCCATGTTAGGGAAGTTTTCAACTATAATCTCTTCAAATATTTTCTCTGGTCCTTTCTTTCTTCTCTTTCTGCGACCCCTATAATGCAAATGCTGTTGCATTTAATGTTGTCCCAGAGGTCTCTTAGGCTGTCTTCATTTCTTTTCATTCTTTTTTCTTTATTCTGTTCCGCAGCAGTGAATTCCACCATTCTGTCTTCCAGGTCACTTCTCTGTTCTTCTGCCTTAGTTATTCTGCTACTGATTCCTTCTAGTGTATTTTTCATTTCAGTTATTGTATTGTTCATCTCTGTTTGTTTGTTCTTTAATTCTTCTAGGTCTTTGTTAAACATTTCTTGCATCTTCTCAAACTTTGCTTCCGTTCTTTTTCCGAGGTCCTGGATCATCTTCACTATCATTATTCTGAATTCTTTTTCTGGAAGGTTGCCTATCTCTACTTCATTTAGTTGTTTTTCTGGGGTTTTATCTTGTTTCTTCATCTGTTACATAGCCCTCTGCCTTTTCATCTTGTCTATCTTTCTGTGAATGGTTTTTGTTCCACAGGCTGCAGGATTGTAGTTCTTGCTTCTGCTGTCTGCCCTCTGATGGATGAGGCTATCTATCTAAGAGGCTTGTGGAAGTTTCCTGTTTTCCTTTTTTAATTGAGGTGAAATTCATAGAACATAAAAATTAATGATTTTAAAGTGAAGAAGTCAGTGGCATTTAGTGCCTTCACAATGCTGTGCAACCACCACCTCTATCTAGTTCCAAAACATTTTTATCTCCCAAAACGCAAGCTTCATTATGCAGTTACTTCCAATTTACCTCTTCCCCCAGCCCCTGGCAGCCATAAATCCACTCTCTGTCTCAATGGATTTACCAATTCTGGACATTTTATATAAGTGGAATCATACACGAAGTGGCCTTTTGTGTCTGTCTTCTTTCACTTGGCACAATGTTTTTTGAGGTTCATCCACAGTATAGCATGTGCATCCTTTCATTCCTTTTTGTGGGTAGATAATATTCCATTGTTTGGATAGACCACATTTTGTTTATCCATTCATCTTTTAATGAACATTTTGATTGTTTCCACCTTTTGACTATTGTGAATAGTGCTGCTATGAATATGCGTGGACAGGTATTTATTTAAGTATATAATGTTTTTTGAATTTCTTTAAACTTTCTCTCATTCTGTGGCATGCTTTGTTTACTCAATATTATGTTATTTCCATATTGATACAAGCAGCTCTCCATTCATTTTCACTGTTGCAGAACATCCCATTGGATGAATCCAACAATTTATTCACCCATTCAATGTTCAAGGACATTTAGGTTATTTCCAGTTTTCCCTATTACAAATAGTACAGCTTTATACTTTCTTGTATATGACTCCTTGGGCACATGTTTGAGGGTTTCTCTGGGGCATATACCTAAGAGTGGAATTGTTGGGGCGTGGGGAATGCATTTCAAATGTACATTACTTCATATTGCCAAATGTGACCTGTCTTTCGGTGAGTGTCCCAGGGGTCCTCAATCCTGGGAGTGCATTAAAATCAACTTTAGAAAAATATATAGGTACCTGGTTAACTCTCCAGACCTTCTGAATCAGAGTTTCCAGGGATAAGACTGGGGAGCTGCAATTTTGAAAGCTCCCTAAGTAATTATACTGTACAGCCAAGGTTGAGAACAGCTGGGACCAAGCCTTAGCCCACTGTGTCTTGGTTTCCCAATGTCAGCTCATAGAGGGCAGCCATTGGCTTAGACTTCCTAATATCATTCAGATATCAGAGACTGAGCAGAGGGAAGAGACCAAAATAGGTACCTGCCAAATGAATAAACAAAGCATTTAAAATAAACTCTTAAGGGACTTTCCTGGCAGTCCAGTGGTTAAGACTCTATGCTTCTACTGCATGGGGGTGTGGGTTCAATCCCTGGTCAGGGAACTAGGATCCCATGTGCCATGCGGCATGGCCAAAAAAAAAACCCCAAAATAAAAAATAAAATAAACTCAATTATTCAGGGCAATGGGAGACAGGGAAAACAGATAAATGGGGATGGAATCTACCATTTTTAGTTATCAATTCCACTTTCTCCCTCTCTTCCCCCACCATATAATTTAGATTCATATTCTAAAGAAGATATTAATAGCTAATGAATGGATCAAAAGGCAGGAAACCAGAGGCAGAGCCACATGATGCATGTACAAGTACAGTACATGGTTAAGAGGTCTAGCTCTGGGCTATAAGGTAGACCAGTCAAGGACCTCAGTCCTGCCACTGACTACCTGTGTAACCTTGGGCAAGTTCCTTCACCTCTCTGAGCCCATTCCCTCATCTACAAAAGGGTGATGATTACAGTAACTATCTCCTATTGCTGTTGTGAACATTAAAGGAGATGATGCATACAGAGCACATGGCATGTACTAAGTGCTCAATAGAGGGTAGCTGCTATTATCAATATTATTTGTAAATCAGGTGGGTGTTTCTGGAAAACAGGAGACTGACCTGCTGGACACACCCTCAAAAAGATGCTAATGTGTTACTGAGCCCCAAAACAAAGCTGGTGGACCAACCTGGGGTGGACTTTGGTATTTGAGAAGGCAACCTATAAATTAGGGTGTATATTAGGCAATATTAGAGGTTGATATTGGGGCCAATAGTTTCTATGTAGTGAAAGCTCACTATGCTCCAGATATAGCACTATTGAGTTTGCATGCATATCTCGTTCCATCCTCACAACAACCCTATGAGGTAGGTATGACTATTCTTCCCATTTTACAGGTAAGGAAAATGAGTCACAGAGAAGGCAAGTCACTTGCCCGAAGTCACCCAGCAAAGCTAGGATTTTAATGGAGGTGACTTTCGGAACCTGCATCCAAAACCAATAATGCACTGTGCCTCACTTGAGAAAACCATTGATGCTTTTCTGTGTCTGCCACTTAGCTTTGCTTTGTTGAATGACAAGCAGTACCAATGGAAAGAACCTGTCATCAGTTCTGTGCATGCCAAGGTGAAAGGGATGGCAAAGGTGAAAAAGGAGATTATGGAGAACGGACTGAAGAAGGTAGTGTGGAATGTCTTCGACACGCCAGATTACACTGTCCCCTTGCAGGTGAGCACTGATCAGCATCCTCCCAGGACTCGTCCCTGGTCACTGTTCCCAGGACCTCGCACCCCTCCCTGGGACCTAGAGCCTCACTCCAGAAAAACATTGGCCCCATTTAAAAAGCTCTGTGAAAATCCCAACTGAGAAAACCTAAAAATTGCAAAATTGGGTCAGATCCAGCAACTCGAAGGAGATGATTCTTTGCTTTATCAAGTCCTACAGGGTTTCTCGAAATAGCAGTGTGTCCTGGTGCATTGAAAACATGATTTGATTCACTCACACTTGATTTATACACAGTTTTTCAGAAGCAGGGCCATCAAGTCAGCAAACTTTGCCTAGATCCAGAAAGGTAAAGAACTTTCTGCCTAGAGGGGACCAGCCCTTCTATATTGTTTGTGCGACATTTTTTCAACAAAAATGTCTCCAGAAAAACACTCTTGGGTACAGTTTTGCACAAGGGAGAGGAAGGGTGTGGCTCACAGAGAAAGGGCATGAGATTGTCTCAGTTTGCAAGAAGAGAAAATGAAAGTAGAATTCTCAAAAGGGAGAAACTGAAGTGGGGTTGAGAACAAAAAAGAACAGATGGGGGGCGGGAGGGACAAAAGGGCACGTTGGCAGCCCTTGGGAGCTGGAAAGCTTTTTGAAACCATAAAAGCCAAGCTGCTATCCGTTTTTGTCTCTAACAGTGGGTCATTAAAACCTCCAGCTATCTCCCAGGTGGTGGGATGCCCTACTGCCCTTTCATTAAAGTCCTGGATAATCTGAACAGCGTTCTGATGGAGGTGACACCTCCACCTCCACCTCCCCAGGTCTCTTGAATTTCAACTTAATGGGATTTCACTGTGTCCAAAAAATGAAAAGGCTGCTTTTGAGGCTGGAATGGAAAAGCAATGCTCAATCAATTTGAACTGTTCCTCTGCTCTCCCTCGGCTCAGCAGGGCGGCTCATCCAGCTTTGATATTAGGCCTCAGGGCTGTCGAGTTGCTTCCAGACCTTGATTTCTAGACTGAAACTTAGAAGAGTGGAAAGGTTTGCCCCCAGGCACTTGGCCAGCTGGATTACTATGATTAAGTAGTTCTGTTCTCAACGGCTTTACATTTGCCTTCTCTCCTTTTTCTCTGCAGGGGAACTCCTTTTTTGTGATGACAAACTTTCTCAAGATAGAAGGCCAAGAGCAAGGGTTGTGTCCCGAGGTAAGATGTGATGGGTGACAAGAGTTCCTGGAGGAGACACAGGTCAGAGGAAATGGAAACTGACACCAGGCGTGTTTTGGAGCCTGCAAATACTTACTGAGCCTCTGCTTGCTACAAAGCAGGGGTGTAGATCTGGGCTGGGTGGAAAGGGTGAGAAGATGTTGTAGTTCTCCCTCTGTAACCACCAGATCTTGATCTGTCCCCCTGGGTCTCCAGCTCCAGCACTAGGAGCCTGTGCAGCTCAAGGCCCACTTTCTCCATTGCTCACTCCCTGTGCAGCTCATGACAACAGGGATCCTTGGCCTTTGCACAGCACCTCATGTTTCAGTGGAGCCTCACTTCAACTTTAGGGGGGTAACAGCATTCCCAGCCCCATTTTACAGGTCAGCACAAAGATCAGAGAGGTTCAGTGACCTCCCCAATGTCACACAGCTTGCTGGAGGCAGAGCCAAGCTTAGAATCCAGTTGTCCTCATTCACAGCTTCTGCCACGGTCCACTGTGAACTGCCTGCAGACCCAGCCTGGGAATCAAGTTTGATTTTTCATCCCACTATAGAGCCTATAGAGTTTTAGGCTCTATATCAGGTAGGAATGCTCCCATGTCTCTTGCCGTCACCACTACCACCCATGCAGCCTTTCCCAGACTGCATGGGTGGTAGTGGTGACGGCGGGAGACATGGCTAGTGGGTAGTGGTGAAGGCGGGAGTGGGTAGTGGTGACGGTGGGAGACATGGGAGCTTTGTCCTCTCCGTACTCTCCACCTTCCCCTACTTTTTCTGGAGAACCTTCTTCCCTATCAAAACATACTGGTCCTATTCTGTCCCATCCCAGTCCGGCTCTCCGCTCTGTAAAATGATAACTAGCTATTCTGGTAAGTTTGTCTATAGCAAAATTTGTCTAGGCAACACACACCTGCTGTTCCCCTCTCGAGTAACACATCTGCGCTTTACCAGGGACCATCCCAACTGAGGGGCACAAGGCTGTGGCAATATTGAGCGGGTCCCCAGCCTGTGGGGAAGACCAGCCTTGTCTGTGGGTCTTGCTCATCGGCCTACTCTGTTGACAAGGCCTAGATTTCTGAGTGTCTGAGAGATCAGGGTGGATAAGCTCTATCTCATTACAGTCTTTGGCGTCATTTCTACCTAAACTTGGAAACAAGCTAACATTCCCTTGGTGTCTATCTCAATAACGTTCCCCTAAAAGGAGACCTCTCTATGTTTATCTTGCCCCCATCTCCCCTTAAATGTTCCTGCTACTCTAACGAGGTAGCGGGCGTCAGTCCAACTAAACACTCCCTCCCACCTCCCTTCCCGGCAGCATCCAAAATTGTATCCAGTTTGGGGCCAGTTTGCTTCCCTTTTGTCCCATACCCTGGAATTGCTACTTACACTCCACCCCTGTGGTACTTTGCACAGATGCTTTTCTTTTCTTTTCTTTTTTTGGCTTGCTGCAGCTTGTGGGATTTTCATTCCCCAACCAGGGGTTGAACCCGTGCCCTCAGCAGTGAGAGCTCGGAGTCCTAACCACCTGACTGCCAGGGAAGTCCCTCACAGCACTTTTCCAGTTACTGAAACTGGTAAGGAAGAGAGTTAGGGTAGCCCAGAGCCTGGATTTAGGAGCTAGACTGTAAATGGTTTAATACTTGATGTATTAGCTTTGTGACTTTGGGCAGGTAACTTCACCACTCTGTGCCTTGATATGTTCATTTGCAAAATGGGGCTAATTACAAAACCTAGCTCTTAAGATTTTTGAAACAAATGAGCGAATCTCTGTGACAGGCTGGAAACAAGGCATGATACATTGTAAGCACTGGATAAATGCGAGCTGTGATGGTTCAAATGACAAGTTACTCTTTCTCAGACAGGATGTCACTCAGACTGACTGGAACTCAAAGAGCAGCCCAGAGAACACTATGTAACTCTTGGGATTTTAACTTGTGACCCAAGCTGGTTTGGGTTGCTCTAATGGGATATTCGCCTCCTCTCTTTGCATACTGACACCCACCCTAACTCTGATCAAGAGGTGGAAGTCAAGGACAGGGCTTGACTCAGTAAATACGGCTGTACACCAAAATGAAGAGACATTGGTTATAATTATCTGTTGCTGCATAACAAACTACCCTGAACCTGGTGGACTTAAAGCAACAAGCATTTTACGAGCTCTCATAGTTCAGTGGTTGACTGAGCTTAGCTGGGCAGTTCTGCTGATCTTGGGATCTGCATGGGATCTCTCATGGCGCTGCAGTCGGATAGCAGCTGGGGCTAGCACCATTCGGAGGCTCAGCTGGGGTACCGGGATGGCTGGCCTTCTCTTCCTCTCTGGGGACTCTCAAGGCTTCTCCTCCTTTCAGAGTCTCTCCGCATAGTCTTTCTAAACTTCCTCATAGCAGCTCAGGTTCCCCCAAACCAAAAGAAGCTTCCAGGCCTCCCAGGCTCAGTACTAGAGCTGACACAGCATTACTTCCACTGCCTTCTGTTGGTTATTTGGTCAGAGCCAGCCCAGCTTCAAAGGGAAGGGGAAACCCTCTACCTCCCAATGGCAAGAGTGACAAAGAATTTGTGGCCATCGTCAACGCATGTGACAACCACAAAAAGAGATGATTAAAACATCTTTTTAAAAAATATATTTATTTATTATTTATTTGGTTGCACTGGGTCTTAGTTGCGGCTCACCAGCTCCTTAGTTGCGGTATGAGAACTCTTAGTTGCAGCATGCATGTGGGATCTAGTTCCTTGACCAGGGATCAAACCCAGGCCCCCTGCATTGAGAGCGCGGAGTCTTATCCACTGCGCCACCAGGGAAGTCCCACGTCTTTATTTTCTTTTAATTTTGGAATTTCTTTTGGAGAGTAAAATAGAGTCAGTTTATCTTCTTTCCTGAGATTTCTTTCCAGTCAATAATCAAAACAACATAGCTTCCCATGAGCCACAGTAAATGATCATTAGTTCATTCATTCATTCATTCCACATTCATCAAGACCCACTATATGTCAGGCACTCAGACTACAAAGATATGACCCAGGCCTTGTATTCAAACGGTTCATAGTGTAGTTGGGGGTCACAAGGGCAGCAAACCAAGGACAGGCTGGGTAACAGGAAGAAAGCAACTTGGGAAGAAAAGAGAACACGAAAGAGATTGAAAACTACAGGAAACCTTCACTGAGCAAGAGCCATGTGCTAAACCCTTTCTCGTCATAATTCATTTAATTTTCACAACAACCATATAAGACGAATCTGTTCATTCCCCTTTTACAGGTAAGGAAACTGAGGCTCAGAGAGGCAAAGTTACTTGGCTGAGGCCACTCAGCTAGAAAATGGTGCAGCTATTGCCGAACCTGGTTGTACCTGGATCCAAGCCTGGGGACTCCCCTGAAGCTCTGTAAAATTGCAAAGAGGCTATTTTCACAGAGGTTCTGGTTTCCCCAAGACGGGCCGGTAAACCTGGTCCCTGAAAAATGCGAAGCCGAGTATGCATAAACCAAGTCATCTCATTTTTCTTTTCCTCATTCTGTCCTCAGCTCTTATTGAAAGCTGATTGACCTCATTTCCTTAGGCCAGGAGAGAGTGCTGGCTGGAGTCCTTTATTTCCACATTTCCTGTTGAGACTTTGTGCCTGTCTGCTTCACTTGGTTCTGCAGCCACAGGGCTGCTTGAACCAGGGCCCCTGCTCTCTAACACAAGGGCTGTCCCCGAAAGTGGCCCCTGGCATACGCTTCTTAGAATTTCATTAATTTTTATTTTTTATTGAGATATAATTCACATACCATAAAACTCACCATTTTAAAGTGTACAATTTAGTGGCTTTTAGTATATTCACCGAGCTGTGCAGCCATATCACTATCAGTTTCCAGAACATTTTCATTATTCCAAAATGAAACCTCATACCCATTAGCAGTCACTCCCATTCCCGCTTCCCTCAGCCCCTGCGACCACTGATCACCATTTTGTCCATGGATTTGCCTGTTCTGAACATTTCATATACACAGAATCATACAATATGTGGTCTTTCGTATCTGGCTTCTTTCACTTAGCATCCATCATGTTTCAAGTTTCATCTACATTGTAGCATGTACCAGTAACTTCATTCATTCCTATTTGTGGCCAGCCAAATAACATTCCATTGGATGAATGTACTAGATTTTAGTTGTCCATTCATCTACTGGTGGATATTTGGGCTGTTCCGTTTTCTTGGCATTATGTGCAAGTTTTTGTGTGGACATAGACATCTGCCCTTCTGTATCGCAGGGACACACGATGCTTATTCCCCACTACCTTGTCCTTCTCTCTGCAGTACCCCACCCGCAGGACGCTCTGTTCCTCTGACGAGGGTTGTAAACAGGGATGGATGGGCCCAAAGAGCAAAGGTATGTTCTGTTTCTTTTCCTGAGTCCCTGTGGGTGGATGGTCTGGAATCTTGGTGACATTCGAGATGCCCAGATTTTTAGCCTCTGGCTCTCAGCTGCCTTCGTCCACCCTCCCCAGGCCATGGATGAGCCTGTACCTGCCCCATGCCTCGACTCTGAACCCAGAGGACCAGCTGCTGACTATGAATGTGACTCTAACTCCCAGTGAGAACAGCTCCTGAAAACCTCGCAGAATTAGCCCCTTCAGGGTTCTCATTGATAGAAAAACTGAATGGTCCATAGCATCATTCTAAGTGTTTCCTCTTGAATTTCCCCAAAGGTTGAAAAGGATGAATGTGTACCCCCAGGGCACCTGGGGACAATATTAACCTTCAGAATTTCCAAAGCTCTTGTTTTAACTTAAGGCACATAATAAAAAAATTACCATAAAAAAGAAAAAAAAAGAAAAAGTAAAAACCAACATTGTTTATAACACACACGTACACAAAAAAGCATATGAATATTCAATTCCATCCCATAGTACCTATGCATTTGAGTTGGTGGAGAGGGTCATTAATATTATTTACTATTTAACTTCCCCTCAAAAATTTGTTAATGACACTGATACTCCAGGAAGATGTGCCACGCTTACTCCACGGCTCTGTACATCCTGGTACGTGCTGTATGCACCTAGAGGGGACTCAGATGCCTGTTTAGAAGCCAAGTTCTAGTCCATTTATACGAGGCAAAAGAATATACCCTGTTCAGCTCCCCCCTCAGTCATCTTTTCTTGCAAAGAAACCAAAACAATCAAACGGCATCCACGGTCTTTCTGTGTTCTCTTTGATCCTTTTTTGAAAAGCTTACTGTTCTATGTGTTGCTTGCTTGATTTTTCTTATGTAAGTTTGTGGTTTGGATGGGTTTCGTGGAAACTGAAACTGCTTGGGTTGAAAAACATAAATAGTCTCTTGCTTGAGTTGAGTGGAGTTTCCTCCCCCC